AAAGTCATCAAAAGCTGAAAATATATTTAGATTAAAGATCTTTTAATATTACTTTATAGAATATTCAATAAATAAGGTCATAATTTTTTACTTTCACAAACAAAAGATGCAGAAAATATTAACATCTATTTTTTTATCAATGAAACGGTATCACAATTATCGTTTTTTAATTAAACAGAAATATTATTCATAGAATAAACTTTTAATATTATGAATTAATATTGTGCTTTATTCGATTGTTTCTAAATTCTTTTTTCTAATTAGCTTGCCAAATTCTAGATATCACTTTACGAAAAAAACATTGATAAAAATCACGTCATTGGAGATAGTAACATTTGACCCACCTTGTGTGTTAACTGTCTATACAAAACGGGGATCGCTAAATTCCACACATCGTCGCGTGTCCCGCATTCACGCGATGACACTGCAATACAAACTTCGTGTCTGCGGTATCGGAAAGGTATCGTGTACGAGGTCAGATGAGATATTAATGGAAACTTCCGCAGGGGAGGTGCCGGCGATATCGTCACTTTTGATCGACACAAGCGCAAGGACGATAAAGTTACCGGCCCACTTACGGGCGAAAATCGAGCGAATTACTGTCGGCACCCGCTTGCAATCGTACTTTTCCGTCAGTGTTGATCGACGTAAACGTATCTATCTATTTATTTTGACTTTACTTATAACTAACTTTACGAAAATTCACGAAAATGCTGGCGCATTTATTCACTTGTCGCATCCAACACCCTTTTATTTAATTGCAAGTATTATTTGCGATTTTTGAATCTTTCGAGATTGCACGTATAATTTGAATTATCTAAGCTACATTAACATTTAACCAGATTTTTTAAATTATGTTTTCCTAGATTTTTTATACTTTTTCTTTAAATTTTTTTATAAAAGAAATCATAGGAAGAAAGAATTTTTATTTAACCCAAAAAACTAATTCTTGATGCAACTGAGTCGTCTTATCAAAAATGCAATTGGATTGAGAGTCAACATCGTACGTTTCATATTCCTTGAGCTCATTTTTCTGAAATTCCCGTGCGCTGCCTCGACAGTATTTATATAATAAAAGAAGCAACTTTCGACGTCATTATACTATTCCAAGCGCGACGTCTGCCAGGTCGTGTTGTTGAGAACCGAAAATAGTCGTGTGTAATTTGTCTTTGTACGAAATTTTATGGAAGAGCGGAGAATACTTTTTGTAGCAGCGTACTCGCTGCGTACCGCACGCGCACGATATTGCGCGCGGTTATAACGATCATAAGCGTAGAAAGATGCAGATCTAATTGGCGACGCATACTAAAACACACACAGGCAACCAAAAGTTTTCTCCAGTTGAAAGGAAACGCATTTAAGGAAAGTTCTATAAAAGCAAGCGCGCGTAACTAACGGACCAATCGATTTCCGCATCTAAAATTATACCCCTAAAATAGAGCGACGTCTCTTGCTTTTATCCATTGAAAGAAAATCTCTCATGCATAGAGATATCAATGCATTTCCTCAATCGTGAAATTAAAGCGTTTACTTCTACAAGCAGAAAATATTCCGCAAATATCACGGATATGTCTGAATAAAATGCATTTTGCTGTGGCGGCTAAAAATATATTGATAGAAATTAATTCAATTCGTGACTTCGTTGTCTCTGCATGCCAATACGATGACTATTTCTAAAATCTCTTGTAATAACAGTTTAACATTTCTTCATACATGCGGCAAATGCACAGGTATACAAGTTGTATTATTAACATTTAATCGACTTTTGGAATTAAAATAGAAAAATATTAAATACGTGAAACAATTAAGTTCGCTAAAAAAAAAAGTTATCTTATGCACTCGTTGCAAATATATACTTATCCTCACTTATCTTGACGTGTGCTTAAGAGAAAAAATATATGAAATTCTTTCTCCTTTTGATGAATGCATGTCGAGCAAAAAATTGCGTATGGTTATACATTCGTGTCACGGCAAAGAAAACGTATGGAAATTTGCATGGAAATACGAAGCACGTTTAATCAAAACAACAGGCGAGGTGAATTCCATGGACATTTTTGCTTCGTTCTGTCAGAGATTAATTTTATCTATATATAGACTGTCTATCTATGAAACATATAAACATATCACGTATCAGAGTGTGAATATTATTAATTCCCAAGATATGGAAATTTCAAGTGTAATTTCAAGATATAATTAAAATTCCGTATTCATAATAAATCAGTATTTTTTGCTGAAAAAAATTAAATTTTATCAAATTCTGTTTTCAATGCAGGAGCAAAAAGAATATTTTTGTATGACCATGTTAAATTTGAAAGGATTACATGACTGAACTGTTAGAACATCTGAAAAATCGCCAACGATTATCGAAACATGGTTTCGCAGGCAGTTTGCTACGCGCGACACCGGAGGGAAAAATTGAGTTATTATACATACACATTGGTCGAACAAACGGCTGATAACGGTGGTTATTCTAATATGAAGATTCGCTCTTTATCTCTCTTACATTTTATAGCAATAATTTTCCCAAGTGCAAAGATAACACTGCACGGAATAAGGTCTTTTCCTTCCAAAGCGCTTCAGACAGATTGTTTCCCCTTTGTTACCTCGATTGTAAAAATAATATCTGATCTCTTGCTATATTTTTCGCTCTTGTACTTTTTTTATCCTGCGCTGCTTGTATAAAACTGAAGAAATGCGAAATACATTCGCAAAGTTCAACAACGAAATTAGTTTTCGCATTTTTTAAATAAATTATTTCAAATAAATTATTTTTATAACAAATCGTAATACACTGAAAACAGAAAATAAGAAATTATTGAATTTCCAGAATTTGTATTTGTCAAATTCGATAATTACAATTTTGCATCCAATTCGGTAAATGCAATTTCTCATCTTGCGGCGAAACTAAAACGAGATTCAAATCACAGAAAAATCTGTTTTGCGTTGATTTTGGTTGCTCTTAATTCCTTTACAGCAATAATTCGATAGCGAATCTCTAATAGTCGATTTCTAATTGCAACGGCATCTCTTTTCGTGCAATCGCTATTTATCATTATTAGATATACTTGATTCTCAAAGATAAACCTTTCATTAATTAATCAGAGACATCTCATTTACATTCGCTTTAATATACACACTAAAGTCAAATTAATGAAGTTAAACATGGTAAAGGTGAGAAGGGGCAAAGGAGAATTTGCTGTCGTCCTGTAAATCTCGGCCCGTTGAATTAAAACTAGTTTGTATAGTTTACTTGCAAACATCATCTTGTTAGAGAAATTATACAGACTAGATTATACAAGTATATAAAATAGCAACCACCAAGTATTTATCAAAATGTTTAAAAAGAAATCAAATGTACTGGAATTAAAGAAAATAAAACACGGTTATTTAATGATATTTCAGAAACTTATTTTGCGAGAAAAATCAAGATGAAAAATCTTGTATAAGTCTTGATAATGTTATGTAATCTATAATACGTAAACTGTGAAGAAGATGGATTAAGATTTACTTTATCACATCGGTAAATATGTAAACTTCAATTCTGTCAGATGTATCATCATTTGTCTCCGGTTGAGAGAGTAAAGAAATTTATAACGTAATTCGCAAATTTATCATTTGATGCATTAAGAGTAATCATCTCGCGTGTGATCGCATCAAGCTTTCTCATTCCGATGATGGATACAAACATCGAAAACATCAAGTAACAGAACATCTCATTTTTTTCAGAAGATTGCACAATAAGTGCTACTTCACGAATCTAGAATAAATAATAATATAGTTGCATTTTTTTAAAAGCGCTTCGTATTTCTTGAAATTTCTCAAATATTTTGATTACGTTTCTGTAGCAAATGTTTCGCTAAATAATTTATATATTGAAACAGCAATTCAAATAATTGTGATCAAAACATCGATAAATATTTAGCAAAGGCACATTTAATTTAATATTTTAATAAATTAAAAAAATAAACTAACAAAATTTACATTATTTAATCATTTCTATTTGTTTTTCAGAGAGCTTTTGCAATTTAAAAAAAAAATAGTATATTAATCATAAAATAGTTCCAATTTACGTATGCTACGCATCGATATATGAGTTATTTGCGTTACTAATAAAAAAATAAAATAAAAGAATTATTATATTTCTAGCGAAAATAAATCTATCAAATAAGATTGCCACTATTTCACGGCTACCTTTTCAAGCTGATGTCAGACAAGGAATGTTCTAATATGTGTTTTCCAACGTAACATTGGATCACAAATTGTGTTGCTTGAAAACTTTGCACTGCACATAGCCTTGCGTGATATTGTTTCCTGGCTCTTGCGTTTCATACATGGCCACACGTGTTTATACACATATCGCGCAGGGATTAAATAACTCGATTCATACGTAACGCTACTCCGCTGCTCGGTAATCAAAACGTATACGTTATAATTAAAGATGTGTAATTTCCATAGTCGTGCATTTTTGTAATAACTATTCTCAACGTGAAATGGCATATTTGTTTTTTTCAAATGTGCTTAATTAAACTAGATATTCATAAAAATTGGTTTGTGAAGTTACAATCGTTTTCCTTCCTTTACACTGCAATTTTCGCAACAAGGTCTTAATTTTCAAATCTAACGTCAAAAAAGCCATGAGGAGAAATGAATCAGTTTGCTTATGACAACATGATAGAGCCACTTAAACTTCGTTCTCTCGCGAACTATCCAACTCTCATTTAGCTTCGGGAAATTGTCGGTTCGGTAACCGTCGTTCTCCGTAGCATTAAAAACGTGGGAACACAAATCTTACCGCGTACAACGCCCGCTTTTGCATTCATCAACGCGAGTGTGCGTGAGTGAGCCTGAAACTTTTCAGGAAACGAGTAACGTACATCCGAGCTACATGCGATCGCCTAATCGAAGTTACGGGGCAAAGTTTCGCGAGGCGCGTCGATAGTTCGGGTGGAAAGAAAAATGACGAGGCGCGAATAAACAGTCTCTTTGCCGTGCGGTTTTACCTGACCGAAACTGTGACACCTCGACGGCTCGGGCGGCTCCAGAGGTACGTTTTTCTTCCTTAAAGTGGCCGCGCAGGGCGCGCCGCCGCCCGGTTTCCCCCACGGCGAGTAACTGGCCAGAATTTCCTGAAGCTGCAAGGAGAAAATTAAGAACGTAAAGCCAGGCAACATAAATGTCAGCCGGCGTGTTAACTGCAGAATACCCGGGTCTCATCCGCAGGTCGCCGTCCGTTCTCAAGCGAGTCATACATTTTATGCGTCTGCTACATTTTTCGTCGCGTAAGACGCAAAGACCGTATACTAAAAGAATATCTTTATCACTTAAACTTTTATTACTTTCATATCAGAGATTTTATATAAATATATGAGACTGCGTGTCGCGTGATTTATGCACGATGAAAAATACAACGCGCGGTCGCTTATTCGCACGGGTGCAATTACGCTCAGAGCGAAAGCCATCGAGGGATATTTAAATTCAACGCCTGATACAATGCTGCTAATTAAAAGCGGCTTTCGCGCTTAGATGAGAATCATTCCACTTTTTTTTCTAAATTAAATTAGAAAGTTTGCGCTTTGACTATTAATCGCGTATACGTACGCGGATCGATAACCATCGTTGGTTGCCGGTGTGCAGATAATTCAGTTCCTGCAAACATTTTGCAAAAAATTTTATCAATCTAAACATTGTAAATATTTTCTACTTAAGCGGTTAAGTATAATTATATGAAATTGTGTTTTCTAGTCTTAATAACGCAGAAGGTTTCCGAATATCTCGAGATAACAGCGAAAGGGTTAACGTTCCTGTGCTCGTATCATGGAACTTGCAAGCAGGATTAGCCCTGAAGCATATCAGGCCCTCCTTTGGCAACATGCACTTTGGCAATGCACTTGCATTCGACCGCGCGTACTTGCACTAGACCGCGACTGCACCAGATTCCCGAGTAATAAGAGAGGAGGACCACGCGAGCGATCCCGCGCCTGTGTCTTTATTAGCATATCGGTTACACGATAAATCCCAATACACGCGCGCGGCGAATGCAATTTAATGCGGTCGACAATGTCGCATTAGCGATACGAAATAATCACCGGAGCAATAATTACCCTTGGATTTTCATCGACATAATCTCGATGTGTATTTTGAGCTATTAGAACGGTGAAACAAAGTGTACGCGACGTGTGTTATACGCTGGGTCGAGTTTTCCCGCGTGTACATGTGTGCTTTTATAATATATTCCATGCGCGGATTATTTATTTTCACAGGGGATGGTAATGAATATAACGAGCGTGTGTGTTCCGCAAACATTTAGGACCATCGTGGCGACGATTGCGTGTCATCGTTGTATCGCGTCAATACTGAAATAAAATGGAAGGGCATGAAAACCGGATAGTGAGATTTTAAATGTCGAATATACGATTGGCGTAAAAGTAGATAGGAAAATTGATAGGAGAACAATTCAACAACTGGGTTTTCGGGTTTTCTAAAAAAAACTGAAAGCAAAACCAATGTTAAAGTAATTCCCCAGTAAGCAAAATGTTAGCGATGTTGGCAGATTGACAGCAAATTTGATTTTAGCAGCATTCTATTTTTGATCAAATTTACTATCAATCTGCGGACATTGCTAACATTTGGCTATCTGGATTGAAAATATGATTTACAAATCACTTTAAAATTCAATAATTTTTGTATATTTTTCAAGGATTTTTATAGACGCTTTTTTAATTTATTTGAAAAAAAAAACATCAATTTTTTACTCCGATTAACTTTCGCACTCGCGTCCAAAAATTGCGATCGTTAATGCGATCTCGACGTGTCTTACAATAGCAGCCTGTATCTACTTTGTTGTGACAAGTTTGTAACAAGCACGAGAGACACGGCGTGCAGTTTACGCAAAGCATAGCGAGAGACCGTGATAGATTATTGGGTTATCTTTCGCGGCTTGTTTCTTGGGATAGTTAGGCGAAGATTATGGAAATCCACTTTAATAGGATACTCGTAGCTTTATTACCGTTCGCTTGCACGTAATTTCTCCCCTGCAAATTCAACGGTACGCCGCGCGAAACACGGAAAAAGACAACCGGGTCAGGCACGAATCAGAGCGTAATTGAATGAAGGCTCCGTTTTCAAAACATATCAATAATAAGCAGGAGCCAAATACCAGTGCGATGTAATATTTTAAAAGTACTTGTTAAATATTTGATCTCGATTTGATATTGTCGAGTGACTTACATTCCAGAAATATTTCATGACAATTATTTCTATCGAACGCTATTGGAAAACGTTTGCGCTTGCAACATTTTTCTACTTTGGAAAATTTTTTATTGGTTACATGTTGTTTAGTAAAAAATGCAGTTAATATCTGTTAATCGTCTTTCAAATTTTCGATATCATCTTGAATGACATGATCTCAAAATAATAAAAATAAGATAAAAAACCGTTAACAATGTTGGCAGATTGACAGACTAAATTTGACTTCAGCAACGTTCTCTTTTTTATTTCCAATTGAAAATTATACAAGCATTTTTTAAATTTTTTATTATTTACAAAAATAGTAGGAAAATGTTAAAAGATGTGGAACATGCAAATAAAAATTTCATAAAATTTGCTGTCAATCTGCCAACGTTGCATTTTGCTTACTGGAAAGATTCTGAATTTAATGATATTTTTGAAGTCAGAAGCGATGCTAAGCTTGCGTATTTTCCGGTTTACAACCGCGAGGGACTGGTTCCAAAATCTCAGCGTCTTAACGCCGTTCCGGTTCACCGAATATATCTCGGAACCGTATCTCGCGCAGCTGACCTTTATCCGATCAGTAACAATAGCGCGCCGAGACAATGACGTTAAGGGGCGGTCGCCGCAGGGCAAGTGGCATAAACGGCAGCAACGTAGCCGAGCCGGGGAGACACCCATTTCTGACACATACTTCACGTTGTTCACGGTGCTTTTGACGTTGCAGCTCCTCCTTCCGTCGCCTCCACAACGCCGTGCCCTCCTGAACCACTCGATGTTCGCGCTTTCTCCTCGCTTCCTCCTCGACTTCCGGCTCGTACGTCGTCTCGAGAATTCCTTGCGCCATTTATGTACTGCTTCTGATCGGGGCAAGAAAAAAAGAAAAGAAATAAAGAGACGGCTGCAAACGATCACGGCGATATCGCGATACGAGGCGGACCTCTTAAATATATGCCGGCTTGAATTTCGAATGCTAAAATAAGAGCGGGAGCGACTTGGCGCTAGTCGCATGCCGCGACACGTGGTTCTGTCATTTATTATCGATTTAACAGGATATTGCTCTTCCCTCGGGAGACGCGCCGTCGTTGTACGTAGTCGACGGTGTAATGGGAGTGCCAATGCTAGAACACCGTACTGTAATCGAGACATCCGGTTTTATATATCGTTTCCCGATATAAAAACGAGTTGCGGCCCACCCTCTAGCGCTCCACCTGCATAAAGCTTCGTGCTTTGTTCGTTTATTCGACATTTAAGCTATGATTTAATTTCGCGCGGCCCGACCTCCACGAAATACAACTGCGGATTAGAACGCTGACGCTCAAATTACGAGCGTTGTATTAGATTTACCGTTTTAGCAGCATTCTGTTTTTGTGACCAATTGAAAATCACACGAATACCTATATATTTGTACCTTCGAAATTTTTCATTATTAAAAAGAAATAGAAAAAAAATATAGAAGACATGGAACGGAGCAATTAAAAAGCCCATACTTATTGAACTCGACCGTTATAAATAATAGTCACCCTTTACGTTCCGATCACGTTTAATAAATCACTTTTATCTGTCACGCGAGAACAACTGTTGTAACTTCTATTTTATATTTTATTGCTTTGCCGTGCATCAGATTCGTATCTGCGCCGTAGTTATTGCAAAGCGCATTTCTTTGCGTTTACATTACTTAGAGCGCTATTCCTGACTTCGAATATTAAATATCGCCAACGAGAATTAATAATACTTAAATCATATCAATAAATTTAAGCTTAAATTAGAAATAAGCTGTTTCCGAAGGAAAGCAATTTTTAAAATATTGAAAAGTACAGTGTACTATTGATATATTCGTATTTTATTCATCCAGTGAATTATAGCAATAATCTAAATTATAAGATATTGAATGAGCCACAGATTGTCTTTTTTTCGTTTTTAAATCGTACGTATCACAATTTCAGTATACGTAATAATGACTTTTTCACAAGACGTCTAAAAAAGTGCAAATCTTTTATCAGCAGACATACAAACTACACTTTTTAATATTACACTTTATTCTTATCATTCATCATTTACTTACACTTACCATTCTCTAGTATTACTTATCATTTATTAGTAGAATTATAAAATGTATTATTAGATATTCAATATACGAAATTATATAAAATATACAAAGAAACAAATCATGGATTGTTGTGTAGATCGAGCCGGACATGGGCCGACAACAATTTCAATAATCCAACTAGATGGGATGTTTGTACGTATGGAATAGAATAATGTCGTGCTTTATTTTGCGATCCGCGCGTTTAGATAGTGGTACAGGTTTACGAACAAGCGCGACGCACTGCAACACTTCCCACGACCCATAAATAAGCCGCGAATGCACTCAACAGTGCAATTGACCATAAAACCGATTTCCAGATGCGGACCTCCGAGTATTGTTGGTTTCACGCGAGGTTACTGTATGAAAAAAAAAGCAGGTTACAAAAATGAGAAAAAATGCGAGTTGCAAATAGCGCTATTATACGCGACGATGCGACACATTTCGACGGTCCCGGATGATATTATTTCAGACTAGAATGCGATTTTACAGCTTCTCGGCTTACCACGTCGCACTCGTCAGCCCTTTAATAAGTGAAAAGTACTTTTGTTAGGCAAAACAACGATGGTGTTTTTCTTCCTGTGATGAAACAACGAGAGCGCGTCTAAGTTGATTTTTACAAACTGAATAGTGAAATAAAAGCTGATTACATTTCAATGTAATGATTACTTTCCGCTTTTCGCTTATAAACTAGCGCGAGGAAAAGCACAGAGTATAATTAAAAATGCAGAGAGAGTACTACGTGGAAAACAGTAAAGGTCACTAAAATAGTTCCATTGCGTGCATTATTTGACGTCGAAAGATGCAAATTTCGAACAAATTTCGCGCTGTTAGAATTCGATTTCAATCCCGGCAATATTATGCAATAATAATATTCAATCGGGCAAGCGACAGAGACAGGAGGATTCGTCACCAAGTCACGTAATTCACGTGACGATCAAATATAAATATTATATCGGCTCGCAGGAAGTAGCGGCGAAATTGGTAGACGGATCGCGTAGACTATCGATTCCGGCAGATTCACCGGCGAGAGCGCGTTCCGATGCCGACGGTGCGTGTCACTTGAGGAAAAAGCCGATCAATACCTCGTCTTACGGTCAATAACGACCGAAACTGACAGCGCAATCGAACCGTAATGCGACTGGAATACGCGTAAAAACGAGAGATCGATCAGAGGTTTACGATGGTGCTAGTGGTCGTCGAGCGGTACCGCCGTTCGCGGCGATGTTTTCCTCGCTCGAGTGTCAGGTAAGTATATATACACTCTTCTCTCACGACCGTGAATCAAATACGATAATCTATTCTACTTACGACGTTACGATTTCTCGCGTGTCATCACGGAGAAGAGATGATCCATGAAACGGTGCGCGCGGTAAATACCTCTCTCGCGAAACGATTACATTCTCACGGTGTTACCGCGTTTAGCTGGCCTCATCGTGACGGCGGGAACACGCGACTGCCTTGTGAATCCGATGCTTTCAGGAGGCTTCACGGGGGTTGCGGTAGCCGCCGACGTCCCGGCGTTCGCCAACATGCCGGCGCACGATTTTCGTCACGGATACTTACGTGCATGCATGATTGTGTGTGCCGTTGTTATCAACTTCGCTATATGTTTCAACCTTCGACTTCCAGTCTCTAATCAGGAACGTAGTAACCACCAGGTTACCCTCGAACAATCGACACGACTCGTGGATATCGGAAGCATCCCCCGATGCGTAAAGAGGACAAGGTGTAATCGGCGAAGTAGCCACTTGAGAATACCGATACTGGTAAACAGTTGATTGATCCATAAACAGCCTGTAATAATTTCGTTCGGAATATTTTAAATTCAACATTTGTCGAATTATTTATATTTGCGTACTAAATTAAATAATATTGCTAAACTCTTCATGTACATATAAATTTTGCATTATTATTCTAACGTAATATTATGCTTCGATTGCTGATTGAACTTATCAAGAATGTAGTAGTACATTTTAAATAAATTACATAATTTTTTACACAATAGCTAAAAATAATTCTGTCAATAAATCATTCTTATATGGATTTGCGTTATTCTTGTATCTAAAGCAAAGAAAAATATTTAGAAAGATATAAAAACGACAAAATTTAAGTGGATGAGAGAACTATTCAATTTTACATATATCAGATGCACTAGAAACATATATCTCCAGAAAAAAATCGGATATGAAAAAGAAATGTGTGAATTTCGTGATTTACAATTGAAATCTTTTTTCTAAGTGTGTAAAAAACATATTGAATTTAAAACAATAATAAATAAGTAGATAATAAAAAAATATCAAATATTTTATAATAGATAAATCAAATTTTAAATTAAAAATTGTACAGTATTGATTTTTGAACATCTATTATATAAAAAAACTTATTTAAAGACTCTAACAATTATATAAATTATTTTGAAAACACTTCATGACATGTAAAATGAAATTTTATGTCAAAAGAATAAAAGATTATTGCTATATGGATGAAGCCATTTTTTATACGCCTCCAGCACACAAAATTCTGCATGAATGAGATGGTTATCAAAATCTATTGACCATATATCATTGATATGGCGCTTTTTTATAGCAAAAGTTCAATGGACTATTGATTCATCAGCATACGAAACGTTATATGGTATAACTTATATCAAGCATACCTCTATTTTCAACTTTAGTAACTTTTTTTTAATTCATATACAATTTTTTCTAATCATGTTTTGCTACCAATGTGTTATATTTAATTGTAACACGTATGTAAAAATAATTCTATCCTTTTTTAATGAAAAGTAAGTAGTATAATTTAATTTAATTTTTTTTTAGTTAGTATAACTCAATATCTAGTCAGGGTTTTTCTTGGATAGGGCAATAAGCACTTTTTGGATGCAATAAATGATCAATAGCTGTAGATAATAAATATTTTTTCGGCACAATGGAGTATCCGTGATTAATTTACTCTACTCTTAATATATTATTAAATATATTATTAAATAATATATCAAAATTGTCTGCTTTTTATATATTTTTAATATATTTAAATATTTTGAAAAAAACAAGAATAAGTAAATAGGTTTAATATAATTTTACATATTCTTTTGTTAAAGAGAGGTTCTTCTTAAATATTTTCATTATGTCACTAGTTAAAAAGAAACGCAGTTAGAAGAGGCATTTTATTGTTATAAAAATGTTCAATAGCATCTCTCAAACTGAACCGCCGCCTGCATTGTGACCACCGTTCGTCACTGACAGATGGAGCTCCTCTGCATCTTCTCTATCTCTCTCATTTATTCCACTACCTCTCGGACCATACATGAACCGAGTTTGACGTGTACAGGTTGCCGGTGAACATATTTCATGTATCATCATCAATCTTTTCACGAGAATTAACAATGTTACGAATAGCGTTTTTAATTGTGATATGCATTTTTTCTGGTGTACACGCGAGTCTTGAAACAGTGCATGATGAAGAACTCCTGAATCTCATAAAAACAGAAAAATATGTCGTCGCCCTGTTTAGTAAGTTTGTTTTTTTCTCTTTTGGTCATCTGGATAAACAGCAGAGAAATATGACTGATTAATAAAAGAAGACATTGAAAAGACTAGATGTTATGTATTGATTATATGCAACATTATTTATATATATATCTTTATGTTATAAATTAATTGATAACACTGATTTTATTTTTTTTAAATACTTTTAATATTTCAAAATCAACTCATTCTTTAGATAGTAATCCTAAAAATTCATTATATACTTGACTGCTTTGATAAAACATAATTTTACTATGTTTATGAATATTACGTAAACTATGAAGTGCTTCATTTTTGTCTTCTAATAGATACTCAATGAAATACTCAACAGGATTTTAAAATACTTTTAATATTATACTTATTAATGTGATAATTTTACTCACAGCAAGAAAAGACTGTCCGGAATGCGAAAATTATGAAAACGAATTGATTCAATTGCGTGAAGATTTGGTGGATTCCTTATCTGCATGGATCGTGAAGACTGTTGATAGTCAATTACTTCAATTATACAGTATCGATAAAGAACCAGCTCTATTGTTCTTCCGACATGGGATTCCATTGTTATATGATGGTACGTTCTTCATAAAGAATACAAATAATGCTTAGATATGTTTTTTGATCATTTAATTATTCCTTGATAATACATTATGTTTTATCATTCCACGTACATGTGATATGTTACTAAATATACTTTTATTTCTGAGTGTACTTATAGCTTTATAGTTGTACTATAAATTTATACTGCACCTTCTTTTCTAGGACGTTTGAACGATGAAGAAATATTAACTATGTTTACGGAAAATAAAGTACCCGCAGTAAAGGAACTTACGGATGATACATTTGAGCATTTAACTCAAGCGAGTAGCGGTGCTACAACTGGTGACTGGTTTGTTATGTTGTAAGTCTACTTCTACTTGTAATCTAGTAATCAGTTGATTCGCTTATAAATAACATACGTTCTAATCATGTACCGCATCAGTTATAGCACAGATTGCGCACGATGCTTGCGTATGATCGCGAGATGGGAGACAGTTGCTGCAAAGCTCAAGCAGAGGGTAAACGTAGCACTTATTAATAAATCCACAACTGGGGTTTCCACAGCCAGGAGATTTAATGTTTATAACACTCCGCAATTTATATTGTAAGCGTACATATAAATCAGTGTTTGTAATATCTTACAAATAGGATGTTTATAATGTTATAATTGTGCATATGATAAAGACAAGCGCAAGTTATCAAAATAGCATAATACATTAACATATTTATTTTGTACTTATATAGCTTCAGACTTGGCAAGATGTACCGGTACGATACAGGAAGGTACGATATTAATTCTCTTGTATCATTTGCCAAGGAATGGTACAAAAATGTAAAAGCAGAAAAAGTGCCTGTGCCTCAAAGTCCCTTGTAAGTTTGATGATGCATGTAACTAGTTTATGATTTTCGTTTCAAGCTATTTATAAGTTTGTACATTAATGTATAATTTTTTTTCCAGTGATGATTTCACACAAATGATCGCAAACTTTCTTCGTGATAATCCATGGATACTTAAATTAGGCAGTATTTGTATTGGGATACTAGTTGTTATTACAGCCGTATCTAAATTTAAGCATAAACCAGAAACTCCACAGAAGAAAGAAAAATAAGCTTATTGCATTTAAGTTGCCAAAGAAATATGGATATTTCTCCATACCGAATATTGTCTACATATCTAAAAATAGTGTTTGATTGTACATTACGTTATTGTAACGTGTAATGTTAAATTTAATAATGCAAAACTTTACGAATCTATGTGTCTTCTTCAAGATTTAAATTACAAGTTTAATGAAATAATTTAAAAATTGCGATTATTTCAATGAAGATATAAATGATATTATTGTAAAATTAAGTGTATTTAATATTTCTCAAATTATCTGAAGATCGATTATGAAAGGCAAATATCCTGTTTATAACAACCTAATGTACAAACATTTGTGTTAATCCTGGCGCAGCAAAAAATTGATAATTTTTTTTCTTAAGATGTATTTGAGTAAATATGTACGTAATGTGGTACAGAGAACGTCTATGCGATGGTAGTCGACTTAAAAAATGCAAAGCAATGTTATTAAAATTGTTAAAGAACAAAAGCCAAGCTTTATCGGGAAAATATTATACAATTATTATTGCGCACAATGCATTCCATCAATTATAAATGACATTATGTTCTGCTCTTTGAGATTTTATTACTGCTTTTTTCTTAGTTTTGTATGAGCAATTTGTAAATAGATCATATTTCATTAAAATAAAAATTTAAAAAACATAGTTTTGTTAGATTGTAGCAATAACAATCTTGTATGTATAAATTTTTTACAGAAATATATCTTTGATGCAAAAAATATTTTTGGTGTCAATCTTGAGATTCCGAACTTTTTGAGATTTAAACATAAATTACTTTAATCACTTTTAATAGTCCTTTATTAATGTGCAAAAATAACATTAATTTTATTAAAAATTTTCTGTTTTATATCCAATATGTGTTTGACAAGCGTTTGCACTTTCATAACTATCGAAAAGTACCTTTTGCATATTCATAATACACATACATATATGTAACAAACTTAATATAAATTTTTAAAACGTTATAGCTTTTTGTAGTTAAAAAATTAAATGCATGAGGCACACTTGAGATAATGCCCATAAAATTGTTTACTAAATTATTTAGTGGTGGATCTAACATTTTTCAGTTGTCTAAAGTTAATATTAAAATCAAAATCTATGGTTTAAAAATAGGAACATATAGTAGGGCATATAGAAAGATATAATTAACGTGAAAATTAAAATTGAAGACAAAACTAAAAAATATAGTGATATATATCACTATATAACTGTGCATTAGAGATTTCTTAATCCTAAAACCCTGAAGTTTAAATTTTATTTATATAGATCCGTCACTAAATATTTAAAAATTTCAACTTTGATACAATTATCTAAATTAATATAAATAATAATATATTCTAATTATTATAATTGCCACAAATTATAGTTGCTCTAAATTTTATACTATTATGCAATTTAATTATGTGATAAATACATATTTAATAAACAATGTGACCCTTTTTTCATAAATAATACCCACTTACATAAATTTGCATAAACTTAAAAAAAGAAAAATATAATAAAATATACGATATTAAGATTTTAATCACGTATATATTGCCAAAGTAAAAGCAGAAATCTCTGTAATGCGGAAATCTACCTCTATTATTTACTCAAATGTCATTTTAATATCACAACAAAGCTGACATTGTGTAAATATATAATAGAAAATAAATTTTACATATGCTAGTCCAAAAATTGCACTTATTTTTTATATAGCCATTTTGGTTTTCTTATATGTAAAAGGCATTTGTATTCGTGTTAAATATTGTCAACTGCCACATTTATCCTAAAAACAGTTGATGGATTAGTTAATGCCATTCTTATGCTCTTCTCAAACTTCTCTTGTATCGATGAGAATTCCATCATATTATTAGGTTTTGACTCGATCCAAAATCCATCAAATTCATAAAACAGGTAACAATAGAACTGATGAAAGGCACGAATCGTCGGCAGCGTTTTCGAGGAATTATATATGTGAGTTTTAGCGCTCCCATCTCTCAGTAACTTCAGAGCCATGCTTGTGAGATTTATACCAACAATGGCAAATGCGTAACCGTAACGTGGATGATTAGAATGGGACAACACATGCGTGGCCATGCTAGGATACTCTTGAGCAAAGTAAACGAGATTCTCCAGTCCCAAGATTCCCATTCCGCGAAAATCAGTCTTTGGATCGTCGCCTTGAAAGCCGATCTGTTGCCACTGCTTGGTCACCCTTGCTTCTAGAGGTTCATATGGCATCAATAAATTCCATAACTTGAGCAACAGTTGTTCATGGTCCGGATTGTCCGTACTGTATGGCGTCTTCCTGAGCTCCTCACACTCCACACACAACTGACGATAACCCCAGATCAATTCCACGCACTTACCGAACGATTTGGCAAAGTCCGGATGCGCCTTGGGATTTACCTTCTTGGTTACCAGCACAGTTCTAATGGCATCTTCCAGGATCTTGCGCTCGGTTTTCGTGGTTATTCCTCGTTTATCGGCGATGTCGTTCAGGTAAGCGACGAGAGTCCTAATGTATGCATCGCGTGACCGCCCGAGGGATCCTTCGATAGCGAACACTCGCGCCGCTCCGGACGGTTGGACATAACAGATCCTTTGTAGCTCACACATCTGCGTGGTCCAGCGCAAGAATCCTTTTATCACGTGCCTGAAGTACCAGCACACCAAAGTCCAGATGTATTTGATCATGTTTGCTGTCACTGATTGATAACTCAGTCGGCTGATAATACCTGTCAAACGCGAAGAGTTACACACGCGAGAGTCTTACAAGCACCACATCGTCTTTACACGTCCCGCAATTCTCATCTCATCTTGATGATTGACTCTCATCGCTGCGTAAATCGATAATAAATAATATCTTGACTAAAATCGGTGGCGGCTGATAACCTCATCAATGTGTCTTCTAGCAAGGAACACAGGCGACGCAAAAAAGATTTGTTCTTTTTAGTTGCACTGGCTGTACTAGTGCAGACAGTGTACAACTGAAGCGTTCGTTTTAACGGAACTGACGTCAGACGTAGCTGTTCTTTTAAATTTAAATTTAGTTGCATTATATTAGTTTAAATATGTTTATTGAAAGCATTAAAAAAATATATATAAAGATTAATAATATATTTTTTAGTAATAAAGAATTTAATGAAAAATTGGTAATAGATAGGTCTTATCGCCGTAGAATGATGTTGCTTCTTATTCTTTTTGTCAACAAGTTGCATGTTTGATGCTGACTTTAAAAAAAAAAGTTTGTTTTTTTCACATGTGAACTCGGCTTGCGAGCGTCAACAGATGCAACTTAGGGCCTGTCCAGACGAACTTGCATAGTCGCATAAACATATTGGTCCATAAGCAAATGCATAAGGAAATGGACCAATCAATTTCTTTATGCATATGTTTATGCGACTATCCAAGTTTGTCTGAATAGGCACTTAAGGTTCTTAAGGGCACATAAAAAAACGTAAGCAATAAAATTTAAACAGTAGGTATATTAGCCAATGACTACCTTACGTTTTCAAGAACACTTGACTGTGATTGGTCAATTTGCTTATTGCTTATGTTTTTCTATGTGTCGCGGTCCTTAACCGTCGTGCATGGAAGACAGGGTTAGGTTCCTCATGGTCGGAACGAAATGTCGTGCCGCTAATGCGTCGACAAGAATACAAATTTGCGTGGACGCACGTAATCTTGGAGCGGTGTCAAACAACCGAAAAAAAACGAGTGAGAAAATCATCGTTGCTGGCAGCGTGACAGCTCGTTCGCGTGCAAAGTACCGCAGTAAGCGGAAAGAGAGGTTAGGCCATGGCGAAGTACCTGATACAGATTATCGTGATGGGCACGCAGGTCATCGGTAAAGCTTTTGCACGTGCATTGCGTCAGGAGATCGCGGCGAGTCAAGAAGCGGCGCGAAGGGCAGGCGGTGGAAGACAAGGGGCACAACATGCTGCCGCTAATAACAGGACCGGACTCACACTGGATGAAGCTCTTCGCATCCTTAACGCAGAACGTTCCGACCAGACAGAAGTGATCGAGCAAAACTACAAATACCTCATGGAAGCTAACGACAGATTAAAGGGTGGCTCGTTCTATCTACAGTCTAAGGTTGTACGCGCTAAGGAGCGCATTGATGAGGAACTTAAATTTCAAAAAACAACAGCACCACCACCATCGTCTCAGTCGCAAACAGGCGGCGAAGAAGCTTCCAAGCAACCATAAAACTCACTTCTAGTCTAAATTTACTTATTTTAATTCTAGAAATTCTAGAAATCTGTATATAATAATTCATGATAAATAGTAAAGATGTTGAACAGAATGGTTTAAGTCTAGTTGTTGGTTTTTTATCTAGTGTAAAAATTTTCAGATATTTTGTAGTGTTAAAAACGTTAAATTAATTATAAATTAAAAATTCATATTTAATTTGATTTTTATAAAGAATAAATGATGTTTAGAAAATGATTTAGGAATTGGCAAATGTTGCATCATATTGGATAATGAATATAAGAGTTAGAATAAAATATAAAACTATTTAGATATATTATATATATATATTTGGAGATATATCGATTTATACAAGTCTGAAGTTCTCGCTCTTATACGAAACTTTTTCAATTAATTTTAAAATTACAGCGCTACTTTGTTAATCCCGCTACTTTCGCATCTTGCGGTTCAATTCTATTTTGTGCCTGGCGTATGATCAACCGCTCTTGATTGTGGCGTACAGACCATAAACTTGGCAAATATTTCGGTTGCATAGTGGTAAGGAAATGTTCCCTCCACATACGTTCTAATTCAACGAGTCCAGACTCTTGTTTTTGGAAATATTGTACCACCTATCATAAAAATGAGAAATTTTATATATAAATTTGCACACATATGTATATAAATTTTATGAACATTTGTTTTAAGTTTTTTTTTTAAATACCTTTAAGCCATGTGGTTGATATTTGCACTGATTAACTGGCATCAGTGTGTTCTTTAGTTGTTCATTCAGGGCATTGAGCAGCTCTGGTGTAATCTTTTGCTGTCCCGTATGTTCTAATATATAATTTTCAAGCTCCTCGCGTCGCCGTTGAGGAATCAATAATCTATCCTGTAAGGCATTAACAGCCGAATGCAATTTTCGATAGTTGTTCATATATCGATCTCGTACGTGCGTCATTGGACCAATTAATGGTGCATCGCACATATCTGCTAGCTTTCTTCTGAGCTGCAGATCATGGTTATTGCTGATCTCATGACAGGCTGGACATAACAGTAACACATCGTGAGATTGATGTGCTTTCATTACCACTGAAAGAAATATCCAACACTTTAGATTACAGATACAAAAAACAATATTTGATTATTACGTAATATAATTATATGTATTGCATGAGAACTGCATCGCTACGAAGATAAAAGATACTTACACGGGAAATATTTTCGATACTCTCGCGGCACGACGTTCTTCCTAATAAACTTCTCAGTGCATCCGCAGACCACGCACTGATTAACTTTCACCTGCGTATAATACTGCCCAACTTCTCCCAATGCACGACCAGATGGCTCAAAGTTTAATCTCACAGTATATGGATCTGTATTCACAAGTACTCCTAATTTTTTCGTAATATACCATTCTGCCTTTTTACGGTCACATGTACACAATATATCTCCGTCAGGCGCTTGTAAGTAACAATTATGATATAATGGTTTAACCCTTGTAGGTATCGTATTTTTACGTTCAGCATTATTGTTTTTATCCATTATTGGTGACTTTATGTTATTTAAAATCTTATTACTAGTAATGCTATCTACACTTGGTGATCGCAGAGCCTTGAACCTTAAACAGATGTATACTTATGTACTCTCTTTTTGTCTCTACATATGTGTACAATTTCTAAAATATAATTTATATAATTTATAAATTCATAAATTATCATACCTCGTATCAACTGTTCTAGCAGGCACGCCATGAATTCGCACATTAACATCTTCGCTCAATATATTACACAAATAAATCCATAATCTTTGCCATAATGAATATTTTGCTTTTTCTCTTTGCATTATCTGCAAGAAAATTCAAACAGAGAGTATTTATTATTAATTATTATTAATTTAGAATGATTATAATTAGATGAAAAAGTTGTTTTTAATCAATTTCCTTACTTTATGATAGATAATAACCGATGCTAGTGCATCACAAGCAGCGTATGCCACTTGTTCGTCGGACAGGGTGCTAACGTCCCAGTCGCCGCACCTCACTTCTGCTATTTTGTCCATCTCAAGATTAAGATACTCTAAACTCATGGCAGCTAAGCTTTTTCGGCTTGGCAGATGTAAGGCATCCGCTAAAGTTCTTAAATCAAGAGCTCCACTAACTCTACATCCATAATCCTTTACTATCTTTTGTCCATCTTCATATGAAGCGACTCCAACTTTAAGGATGTGTTTACTAGCTAGCAATTCCTGTGAACAAATTACAATAATTGTTATTAAAAATTCTCTTATGTAGATGATGGTATATATATATTTTTTTACAATATATACATTTTGTCAAATGTAATTCATACCTTGAGTTTAGTTGGAATATATCCAATTTTTCCAATGCGAAACAAAGCAACTACTCCATTGAAAGTGGCTAATTGTAACAAAGAAACGGATCCTTCTTTGACCCATTCGCAATCAAAACCCAAAACGCCATCAGACAGATTGCTGTAAAAAGAAAAGTACATATACAATAAATTAATAACTTTTCCATAATAAAATAATCATTACATACATTTTTATATAAAAAGTATGATTTGCAAAGCAGATTTTTAGAGATAAAAATAATTTTAGAAATATACATGTAAATTTATATTATAAGAAACGACTGAAAGAAAAAAGAAATTTATTGTTTTTAATTTCTTACAATAAAATTCATTTTATTACACACAAAAATTTACAAATTATAAGATGATAAATCGGAGGGTATTTTCCTTTCACAACGATATAACAATCGCGTATTAATTTTGCCACAAGTGTGATAGCATTATAAGTATTCCAGATCTTTCTCTAAGAATTTCAAGGACGCTACATATACTGTCTTCCATATACAATGAGAATCGCTATTCAACACAGCTCTCACAAAAAATGTAAACAATAGTTGAGATCGGCCGTTTCCATCGTATTATGAAGAGCAGCAAGACGTTCCAACATTTAATACTCGTACAATATATACATATAAATTAAAGATTATTATAATAAGCGGAAAATATTCCTTATTTTTTCGATTATTCCTTAAAACCGATAATAATATAATTGTACTTACCAACGAATACGCTGTACGGCGTAATCGCACTTCTCCGGAGAGTCTGCCAGGATAATCTTGTCTAATATAAGTTTAATTTCCTTATTGTCATCATTATTCTCATTGTTACTTTTAATATTATCATCGTGTTTATTGTTAGCATCGGATTTATTTTTCTTATTCTTATTTTTATTATCATCTCGAATTTTTATATTATCGTATAAGTTTTTGACGCTGTGAAGTACGTTGTTGCGATACTTCGACGCCAAGAAGACGAGCCCCACGGTCACGCAAACGAGGAACATGTTGTTACGCGCGGGAACCATTAATTAAATAGAAAAAATGCTCGAAGCACACAAAATTTGACTAAAAACCGATATGTACAATTTTTCGTTATCTTATACGATATACACGAGTAACTCGTTTATGTTACAGTTTTATAAATATCAAACGATTACTTAAGCGATCAAACTACCACGCTAACGATTACTTGGAAATAACTTAGGATATCAATTAATCACAGCGTAATAAACGTTTTAGACATTTATATAAAACCGAAATTAATAAATTAATTATAAATTAACGCGCATCATTCAGCATGATAAATCTACGAATATTTGAAAACACTGTCGCCCCTGCTCGCAGCTACGTGTAAAATAATCATGTCGGTGACCAGCTCCGATCCATCGAAATTTAACGAACGAGGTTCAAGGGACCCCGTAGCTGATAACAACAACCAGCGTACGCGGCTACGGGTATCACGCACGACTACAGGACGATTTCAATCGTGCACACTTTATCTGCCGTTAACGTGGTGTAATAGCATTAACATTGAAAGTGATCTCTCCGTTTTGATCCTGAAGCTAATCGATTCTTTCAATTGAAATTCTCGTTTGGTATAGAAACGAAATGATTCGCTGTGCTATTCTGATGTTCTCTTTCGATATATCGAACAAAAAGCAATTGGTCGTCGTGTTTACACGTGCGTTACCATTGGACGATGACTAGTATGGCGAACGTTTCTCGGCTGCCACGTAACGGTCATATTTATAGCACAGTTTTCCATCTATATTATATATAAAGTTTGTTTTTGCGCGTAAATCGCAGGTAGATTCAAGTTTTGTTTTTAGGTTATACATTATTTAGACACAAATAACGAATTACGAATATTAGTGATATTATCCATACGCTGCAAGAATTGCGGATACAGATATCCGAAGGATAGGATATAATGATAACCTGCGCAGCTAATGGTTGTCCTTCTACCCAGACCACGAAGATAGATGGCAATCTGATGTCATTTTTCGCTTTTCCAGAAGATGATCTGTGAGTATTTATTGTACTGCTATGATCTCTGTGTTGACGATAACTCACTGTTTTCATGATGGATTTCAGAAGAAAAAACCAATGGCTGCACAATTGCAATTCGGCATCAGGTGTCGTAAACGACAAACAGCCTCTGCATCTCTGCGAGTTACACTTCGAGAAAGAAAACTTCACTCCATCTAAAGATTTGAAGTCAAGTGCTGTTCCTACTCTGTTCGGTAAAATAGAAGGTTTGTAAGCCTAGTTGCAAGCTTATACTCCTCTCTGAAAATATGTTTGAATTATTATTTCAATGTTTTATAGAATATTCAATAAATATTAGATGTTTGACAATATGCGGAAAATTTATAATTATATCTATAGATTTGTCTACAATATTGTTTTAACAAAAGTAATTTCTTATTGATATTTTTAGGAATAACAATAACTTATAATTATTTATATTTAATAAATTTATTTGGAATATTTTACAATATATATAGTCAACTTTTTATATAATAATTCCAATGCAAGATCTCTATTCTATTTGTACATAAGTAATAAATTTATATAGTATGATATTACAATAATATATATGTATCTCTTTACAGGTCCTCCAATTAAACGTAAAATGGAAACTGCATTACAGACGACACCAGAAAAGATATCATTAAAACAGAAAAAATTAGATGAAGATACTTTAGTGACACCACCACAGAGTCCATTTACACAAGATAATGTAAATCTGCTTTCTTTTAGCCATATGTTGCTATATATTTAAAAACGTTTATATTTTTATGTTATATTGCAGGTGGAAGATGCAATTAGTGGAAGTAAAACAATTGATTGTGCAATTAATGGTTCTGTTGCATCAAGCCTTGAACCACATGAAAACCTTCAGACAAAAGAGAAGACATATTGTCTGATCATACAAATTGATAAAGTACGATGTAAACCAGGCCCAATTGATAATGATGTGAAAGATTTATCAGAGAGAAAAAGTCAAACATTACAGACACTGGCTAAGAAAATCTGCGCTAAAGGTAGCTGCAAACTAAAAAGATGTATATACAACTCGAAACCAGCATTGCAGTGCAAAATATGTGATCAATATTATATTATAAAGGGTGAAGAGGAGAAAAGCTACCCTTGTTCTATATGTTCGAAAACTTTTCCTAATCCACAATCGTTGTATGTGCATATTAGAAAACATTTTATTTGCGACATGTGTCAAACGGAATGCAGCTCACAGATAATGTATGATAAACATGCAAAATTGCATGTTAGCACTGATCCATTACACCCATATAAATGCCATCAGTGTCTCAAGACATTTGAATTGAAAGAAGGCGTCAAGCAACATTGTTTGACTGAGCATTCAAAGACAAAATTGCAGAACACTTTATTTCATTTCGCTTCGCCTTCTGTAACTACAACAGTCTCTCAGCAAAATGATTACCGATGTACGAGCTGTAACATTAATTTAAAGAATGATCAAGCTTACAGGTAAACTATTTTTATATATAAATATCACTTTTTAAAAACTTGTCGCAAATATAATGTAAATAATAATCATTTTGTTGTAATAGTTGAAGTTTTGTTTTTGATGTTTTATATATATATATATATATATATATATATATATATATATATATATATATATATATAAATATAATATATATGTTTTATACTATATTTTGTTCTTTTGGAATAATATTGGAAATATATTACAGGAACCATATAAATCTTCACAAAAAGAATGAAAGCTTGAGTAATATCAATATTAACGAAGCCAACAACATAATAGTACCAAATCCTTTGACTGGGAGTCAAATCGGTATTCTTCAACCAGTAAAGTTTAGTTGTCGAGTATGCTCAAAAGAATTTGATAATGTCAGAGAAGTTGATTTGCATACGAGGACTCATTTGGAAGATGTCGAAGAAGATCTTAAATGTAATATCTGTAAGAAATTTTTTAAAAGTAGCACGGCATTCAGTGAACATTTAAAGCATCATTTGTCACGTGCGTATCCTTGTCCAGTTTGTTCAAAAGCTTTTATTAATAGAACTACTTTAAAAATACACTTAAAAACTCATTCTGATTAGATTCATAGATTGTAATAAAATGGAACATCAAAAAAATTCACGTAAAATTTCAAATAAGTTATATTTTGAAAATAATATATGAATTTGAACTAATAATCTATGAATTATGGCTGTGTTCTGAAATTCACTGCCAGTACTGGAAAATCTATAGTTTACATTATGTATATTGTAAATTTTCAGTACTGGCAGTGAATTTCGAAACGCAGCCTATATATATTGACTTTTATTATTACATACAGCGTGTTCCATGGGAAGTTTCAGCAACTTCCCAGTTGCTGAAACTAATTAGCTGTTATTTTTAAACGCACATACAGGACAAAAAAAATAAAATATTTTCTAGCAGAGAACATTTTGCAGCTTTATTTACATATAAACTAAAAACAATCGGAGATATTTTTATTATTAAATAAATGTTTATAAATGCCAAATTTTTATTTTTATTATAATTCTGACGGTGCGTACGTTAAAAATATATACCATTAAAATTAGAAATATTTGGCATTTTTTATATAATAAACGTTTATTTAATGATGAAAATATTGTCTTTAGTTTATACGTAAATAAAACTACAAAATGTCTTCTGTTAAAAAATTTTTATTTTATTTTTCTTGCTTCCTATATGCGTTTAAAAATGATAGCTAATTAGTTAAGCAACTTTTCATGCGAAAATTTATATAATCTTATAATTTATAAATTTATATTTAATAAATTTTCTCTATATTAAATCCTTAAATATATTTTTCATAATGCATAGATTATTAATTTTGTGTTATTTTTCAGCATACAACTTGTTTGATTATGTTTTATGTGAACAAGTTTTTTTAAAACAGAATTCTTTCTATAAAACAAAATTTATTATTTTACAATAAAATACTTATATGTAAGCGCAATTCTTATTTTAAAATATAATTATCGCATGTTATAAATTATTTTAATTTTGTTGGAATAAATATAACTAGCGTTGATGAAATTTCTTTAATAATCTTATATTTTTCATTTAACTTTAATGAGACTTTAATTAGATGTCATTTATTTACGCTACCAAACAAACAGTATAGAGTATGCAATATTTGAAGCATATAATACATAGATGTGAATACCAGACTATATTACATGGATATTGTATTTATCCACAATTTCTTATAATTTCTCAACATTTTTGATTATATATCATGTTTTCTAGAAAATAGAAGCTGAAAACATAACATTTAAATGTTATCCCATTCAATACATAAATCAAGAAATTGACATTGCATTGTAAATGCAATGTTATTATAATTATGTATATATTTAAATTTTAATGTTCGATACCATTTATTTACGCTACCAAATGAACAAGTATAAAGTATATGTAATATTTGGAGTATGTAATACGTGGATGTAAATACCAGATTATACCATATTACATGAATGTAATAAAAATATAAATTTAAATAAGAAACAAATAATTATATCTGTTGTATCGCTTCACCTGCTGTAGATTTTGTCTTTGTTCCAAAATTTGGTGTACGCATCAATTTCATCGAAAAATTGAAAAATGTTAAAATCCCGCGCTTTTGTTAATTACATGCACTTCCGAGTGCAATCAACTTCACACAATTTGTACGCAGTGTCAATTGGCCAATATTGCCAATATTTCAATATCTCAATATTGGCAATATTGAAATATATCGATGCTGCGCGTCCTCTTTCAGTCTTTTTTATTCGTTCCTGCGCTATGTCTATTTGTAATGCAGAGTGCTAATTTATTTTAATTGTTAAAAGTGTACAAGTGTGAATTTTCGTTGGGAATGCCGAAAGTTGGGAGTGACGAGCGATTGCCGAAACGTATTATTTATCGTGTTTGCAATTAACGGCGTTTCATTTAATTACAAGATCGAAGCGCTGTAGATCCGCGGTTCATTGTCAGATGTAAAGCGGTAAAACATTTATGTTGTGAACATATCCGCATTTGATGGCCGCCAAAACGGTTATTGTTTTGCTCATTGTGAATGCATGTACAGTGTTGAGTGAATCGTTGAATATGTAAAGTGATAGTTCGTTATCAGTATAATTATGTATGCATTGCGATAAACAATGCATTTTGTGTATTGTACGCGCATGGCAAATACGTAGTTTGAATCGTGAGTCTCCCGTAAGTACAGGTTAATTTTCATCTGGTAGTGTAACTATGTCCGAGTTTCCGGATTTCTCGATGGATGCTGATGCAGGACAACTTCAACTGATGCAGCGAATAAAGCATACTGCAATACTTTAGTTGGTGAGTAATTATCTGTTTGTTGTTTGAATATATATATAATTATGATCGCATACATACACACACACACACACACGCACACATATATACAATTACAATTTGATTTATTGCATATTTAATAAATGAGATACTTACACACATTTATTGAATATTTATTAAAATTATTCATGTAATTTATGGTTTGTAATTACATATAATTGTTTTAATCCAAATGGAAATATATTATACTTTATAATTGACTAAGGTATATATTGTATATTAATTTTTTAGGTATAGCTGGAGAGCGTACTTGGCTAGGGTACAACGACCGGTGAGTGAATTTATTCATTATACGTACGTAATTACATAAACTGTTGATATCATCTATTGTTTTTTTCATTTGCCAATATTTATTATATGATTGCTAAAAACCGTATTTTAACAATCAGATGCTCATCTTTAATTTGTATTTTTTTAAATATACAATAAAATACGAAATTATTTTGTCTCTATTTTAATAATAAAAAATTTCAAATTTTGCATAAGTCAATTTGTTATTTTTATATTGTAAATTGTAAAGTTTTATGAAATATATATGAACATTGTACATAAAAGAAATTTTATGGAAATATAAATTATGGAAAATTGCATTTAGAAATTATAACTCTGAAGATATAAATTTTAAACTTATATTTAATATAATTTTGTATTATAAATATATTTTTTATTTAATCTTATTAATAAATTTAATCATTCAATGTTGAATTGTTAAAGTACGGTTTTAAATGTATAGTTTATGAATGCAAAAAGAATTGTCATTACTAATACAATTGCTTATATAGCAATTGATATATTTGAATCACTTTTATACGCGTATTAAAATTTGTTAATTATCAAACTGTTAAAATTTGAAAAATTTTTTAAATACAACGATCTTCGCGAAAAAAGCCTCTCTTGTAGTAGCTAAAAAAATATTGATATATTTTTTCTAAACTGCAAATTTGTTATTCGAAGAATTTTAACTATTTATACGCATTTGCCTTTCATGTGCCGTGGCATGAATTTGTAATTTCTGAAAGTAAACTACGGTTAACTTTTGTTCTGTAATACGCGTAACAAATTCTGTAAGCGCGAGTATTTAATATTTATCGGCTCTTTGACGGAATTATTATAATAGCAGTCCAAGGCGAAATTTGCAGTGGTGAAGCAAATTGTGACACCTCGTCTTGCGACACCTACTAAATACAATTGCTTGTTCATTATTTAAATATATTTTAACAGATTGATAACATACATATATATAATTGCAATTAATTTTTTCGATATACTTGTGTATCAATTTGTTATTTATCAAATGTTACATTGCTGATCTTTTATGTTACTACTTTTTAAGAAAAATTTAATATTTTTGCTCCTAAATTTTCTAACATTGTTAGACTTCTTTCTCTGGTCAATCTTTTTTACTAAAGAAAGGAAAAACGATTTTTGCTTATCAGATTTTTAAAAATAACGAGTAACGAGTTAAGATATCTTTTAAGTAAAAAAGTAATATCCTGCCTCTCAAGAACACCCAGTTTTTGATATTGCAAAATTTCAAAGTATGATAAAAGTAAATGGATTCTCAGAATTCATGTTGTATAAGTAAATGGATTCTCAGAATCCATTTTATAAAATTGAATTCACATAATCTGTGGTATCAGATCAAAGAGTTAAATCTTGAAACTTTTAATTCTCTTTAATCCTTTCAACCTGATAGACGAATAATCTCTTTAATTCTGTATGCAGTATTACATAAAATTAATGACGATTATGCAAGCTTTTATCAAGAAATTGAATCTTGATTCCTATTTATCGTAAACAACAGAATTACAGAATAACTAAACCTTTTGTGCTAAAAACGATATTCTAAAGACTAACAATCTTCTAACAATCCGAAAGCAATCGCTGATATTATCGGTCACGTTTTACGGACGAAATTCTTTTGATTCGTTTATTTTTCGTAAAGTATCTGTCGAAGTGACAAGTGCGAATGATAGAGACTCGAGACTGTAAAGAGAGGTACGATCGCGAATGAATGAAGGAATGAATGAGCGGACGAATGGCGATAATAGCTTTCTTTGAGATGCCGCGGTGCTCTCGTGAAACGCGCGCAGAATGATCCTGATTTTTATAAGGAAAAGAACCAGAAGTTAGCAGCACGGAAGGGGCACCTGGGAGAAGGGGAACCGCCTCCGATGCCCGGAATCCAAAAGGTGCCGACGATGACGACCCGCTGCGGAACAATCGTGCCGATATTCACGGGTCGCCCACTGTCAACGGGGACCACTTCAAACGTAGCCGGCCTCAATGTGTTTATTTGGCCAACGTCAAATTTACTCGTGGAAAAGGGGGAACACGAATCGATACGACGCGCCACCGCGGGCACACACGTCGGCACCTCGCCGTCCTGTTTTTGTGTCGGCCAAGACACAAATCCGATCGTTTTGTGCGGCGAAGGATCACTTCGCAGCCGCAGGGCGTGGCTCGTGTAAGCCCGTTGTAAGCTCTTGACTTTCGCTCGCCGCACTTTAACCGAGCACGGGCGTAATCCGATTGTCGCCGGTCGATGCACCGAGAAAGGGCGATAAACAACTGCGAATTCTGTTTTTTACGGAGGCTTGTGTCGATTTCGTGTGTAATCTGTGGGATGCGATGTTTTATATATTATTTTGTAAATATAAATGAATCAGAATTTTTCAATCTTTTCTTGATTTATTTGATATATTTATTCGATTTCTCATTGGCGGATAAAGAACATTTGTTCACAGAAGGTAGATAAATGAGAAAATGAGGCGAATAAGGTATTCATTGTTTTTATTTCATGAAATATTGCTATACAATTAATAATGTGTAGAAATCTATTAAGAAAAGATGTCTCAAAGGAAGCTATTATGTGTGTGTATCGGAAATAATTTGGTCGATCGTTATGCACTTGTGACTTTTCTAGACTAAGACTTTAAATCAATACCGGCGAACATATCAATCTTAACATTCTTGAATTGTGTAGAATTTCTTATTTCTTGTGTGGGAATTTTTGCTTGGAATATTCTCTATCCGAATCAACTTTTAGAATTAGTGTGTAAACCACTATGTGATCCGAATTGACTTAAATGTTTCATGAAATATAAAATTTTAGAACTACCGATAATATATTTTTTACAAGTATGCTAAAATATGAAAAAATAACTTTTTACGAGATCCTATAATTTTTTTTCAATTTAAAGTATTAATACAAATTAATAAAAATAAAGAAAGTAATACTTTAAACGGATTTTACTTTGATATTTTTAAAGATTGATAAGCAAAAATTTCATTTAATATAATTTTATTAACAAGACGTTGTAATTAGAAATTGTGTACGTCGCAGAAAATATTTTCTACATTTTATGACAAATGTCTTTTAAACACAACTGCGATTTCAGAGTTTGAATATACTATGATATAATAATCTAATAAATAGAAATTCAGGATCTATTAGGTCTTTCGTATTATAGAGTGCGTGAAGGCGTTTAGTAACGCTCTGTTACGTTTAGAATAACGACAGCCAAGGTGCTAGGTGTCGCGGGAAAAGCTTAGAGAAGGATTCCATAAATTCGCTATGGGCTTCTTCGTAAGTCACTAAACGTTAAACGACGTGTGCGTATTGCGTACATGGCTCACAGGATTAAGGGTGGCGGAGGGTCGTTGTCGTGACGAATCCGACAATTTGCCGTGAACGTTTCTGGAAGCAGATCCCGAAATAATTCACAGAGAACACGTCTCAATCCAATTCCATTTAGCACATCTTAATGTATTCTCATAGGTACCGTTTACAATCTGTTTATCGATCCGTCAGAGACTGCAATTTTCTGACCAAAAATTGAATGTTGATTTTAATTCAAAGACTACTTTTTGTGAAAAGATATAATTATTATAATTGTTTCTTTTCCCAATCTTGATTTATTATCTAGATCTTAATGAAATGCTGTGCTTTTGCACATATTTATATTTATTCATTAAGATTAAATACATTCTTATTGCGGATAAAATTAAGAAACGTATGATTCTTGCGGAATGTCTTTGTAAGTATTTACAGAAAACTTCGCCAAGAAATATTCCGCGGCTAAATTTGCGCGGCACTTTTCTGCCATTGGTTGAAAGGGTTGCTTGACTATAAAGCCAGTAAATATACTAATTCACAATTGTGTCAAAGTGACCGGCATTCGCCGTCGGAAAGCGCTTTCTCGATTCAACATAGACATTCCCTACACGTTTATTTGTCGGGAAAAATGCAGGCAGCTGTATCGAGGTGGATGACACGCGCATCATTTTATGGAAGCTAACGAAAAGATCGTGATGCAAGAAATATTTCTCAATTTTACTGCATTAATATGAGATCGTACCTTTGCTAATATAACTAGTGTTATCGTGTCTACTTCTTTTCGAATCATAATTCTAAGTATAAAATATAGAGACAGAAAAAGGAAATTTATTATACTAGCAATTGCAAATGTAATCGACGCTAACAACAAAAACTTTTTTATATTATAACAAAATTATGTAATTTTAATCACAATAGAATTTTGAAAGAAACAAATTAATATTTGAAGGAAAATAAATCGCAAATATATATAATATATATATACGTGATATGCTTAATTCTGACTTTTGAACCTAATCATATTTGTTACTTTATGTTCTATCAATCCTTGCATCAAAATTGATAAATATTTGTCGTATTTTACTCATCGGTTTATCAAAGACACGTGATATAACGAGAATACTATAATGAGAAACTTTCCAAAGAAAGAGGAGACATTACGATCTCGTATCAATGCTCGTGGAAACACATGCTCCGTAGAACGTAAACCCGTGAAGAATGCCCACGACCTCTCATCCTTAAGAACGTCAAAGGGAAAGACTGAGGTCGATCAAAAGAGGAGGAAAAGCGTGTTCGAGAGAAAAGACAGGAGAGGGAGAGCCTCTCTTTTGGTACCGGGCACGGGCCATCTGGCAGAACGATCTTTTATTATGGTAGCTATTCCTCCCGTCAGCCTTCGAACGACGGAAGATTCAGTCGCGCGGAAGTTGGATCTTTGATTAATGGACGGCGAGATAAACCGCGTCGATTTCCCGATCGATATCGACGGCGAGAACGTTAGTTATAGAGGCGTTATTTGTTTTGCTCCAATTAATTCTCACGCGCTTAGGCAATGTTGATTTCTTTTTGACACGCTTATGCCGTATCTAATTTTAAACGAGAGAAGAAATTGAAATCTTTCAAAATGAGAGAGAATTGTTAAATTGTATAGA